GCATGAGCCGCAACTGTGATAAAGAGCACCCCTCATTCCCCTTACCCCCCCCAGCCTGCAAACCCAGTGGCTGCTGTTGCTTCTCAGCCCAGAGCTCACGGTTCCTGCTGGGCTCCAGCAGCAGCTCACATGGCAGGGGGTTAAATTATGGAAGAGCACAAGGTTTCCTGTGCTTGCTTAGACCTGAGAAAGGGCCTTCGATACATGCAGGGGGAGCGGCGGAGATATCAGTGAGTTGGTGAGTCAAGCTCATGTGCTGTGAGGACCTAACACCAGATGCTCACACACTTTTTAATCATCGTTTGAAGTGGTCACTACCCCTCTGCAGCCGTGTCACGTGCTGAGATGTCTTCCTTGCAGATAGTGGGGCCTCGGGACCCATTCGGCTTTTGGGGACAGGCTGCAACATCTGCTGAGGGATGGCTAGAAATAAAAGAGGGGCTGCCCCGGTGTCTCTTGCCCATCCAAATGCAAGAGCTGGGTCCCCTGGGGAGAGGCAGGCTGCAGCTGTCGCTGCCTCTGCTCTACCAGCCCTGTTTGGGGTAGTGAGAGTTTGGTTTCTAAGAGGGTGAACAGAGAAGCACGTTCCCATGGCTCAGATGTTTCTTCTTCTGAGCCTTTCCATGCATCAGCTGCTGTGGTAAGTGCTTGTGTGCACGCTCTACCCCGTGGTAAGTCAGCCCTAACCCACAGCGGCTTGTTCCTCATGAAAAAGGTGTGAAGTGTGCATTGCAACGAAGTCTTGTCATCGTGCTCCTTAGCAAAGCCACTAACTTCCCTATAATGTCCCCCTCCTGCTGCTGGAGCCCTGACTCCCTGTGGCCATCTACAGGGAGCCCGAGCCTGCATCGGCAGATGGGGTGCTATGTCCCCAGCGTAGTGCAGACGCTCTTTCACCCTTTCCCTCCTCGAATCCTGTAGGTTCGTGGCTTCTCGTGGGAGGACTGTGGTGGTGGGAAGGATCCCATCGTACTCCGGAGTCTCTCCATAGCCCCGGACCCCATCACCATCCCAGGGAACGTGAAAGTCAGCGCAAGTGTCACCAGCTCAACTCTCATGACCTCGCCTCTGAAGGTACGTGAGCCAGGCATGACCCGGTACCCGGGCTGGGTGGCTTTGCAAGGCTTGGAAATAAGGGGGCCCAGAGAAGACCGAAGTGCCTGGGGTCAGGCTGAAGGCCTCTCTTAGCAGGGGAAACCGAGATGCTGTGGGCTGAGCAGCTGCGGGCAAACAGGTGGCGGATATTAGTCCTCAGAAGTGGAGGCAGTGCAAAGACTTCCGTTCAGCTCCATCTTTGCTGCTGGAAGGGAAGGCAGATGAAAGGGCCAGGGCAGTGTTCCTGCCTCCCCCCAGGCGACGGGGAGGTTGCTTTGCAGCGTTGAAGACGTTCCCCAGACAGAGGTTGGCATGCATTTGCTGCTCGCCTGGTCTGGACGGTCTTTCCAGCACGGGCAGGGAGCTACATCACAGCTCCCACCCGGGTGGCTTGCTCACGGACAGGGGCGTCACCGCCTTCCTGCCGCCGGGGTGGTACGGCCACAGCGAGCCGGGTGCGGGGAGTTGAGGCTGCACGTCCTCTGCATCGACAAGCCCGGAGTGAAACGTGCCCTGCCCCTGTGACGCGGAGCTGGGCGAGAGCCCAGCCGCCCCCGTGCTCTTGAGCAACCCGGCGGTGCCTCTGCTTTGGTGGCTGCCGGGGAGGATCTTGGGGATCAAGGCCGGGCCTGAAAAATGCCGAAGGAGCATGGGCCTGATGGATGAGTCTGAATCCCAGGGCATGGGCAAGCTGCAGCGTTGAGTCCAGCTCCATCATTGGGTCCAGTCTGGGGGGTGGCAAACCGTGCTTCCCAGTCTGAGAGTGAACTGGGAGCCAGGGCCACGAATGAGCAGGGAAGGCCAAGCCACCAATGCTGCACATGCCCCTTGCATTCAGCTATGTGGCAGGACAGGGCACAGCTGCCCTCCCTACGGGGCCTTTCCCTGCTGCAGCCGGCACAGAGGTGTTACCAAATTTGCCCATTACTTTGGGGTGTGCTCATTTATTAGGGATAGTTTCTAGGGTCTTGGTGATTCTGTCAGTGTGCTGCTTGTGTTACTATACGGAGCTGTATTTCTCCCTTCTGCAAGCCCTCACCCCCAGTGGAGCTATCTTGCAGGACTCAATCTCAATGGGACTGGGTTCCTCCAGTCACCAAATCAGTCATACACACAAACACACACAAATTAACGTGACACGCCTGACCTGGCCGGGCTGATCAGCATGGACAGGCTGACACCCTCATATGCCAAGAATCAGTTCATAAGAGCAACAATAAAATGCAGTCAAACACAAGCACACGGGTAAACAGAATCCCTCTGAATCCGGCTGGGTGTCCAGCTGACACCCTCATGGGCCAGCATTCAGTTCATAAGGGCACGTCTGAGTCAAACTGGGTCAATCAGCCTGTACAAGCTGATCCCCTTATGTGTTTCAAACTCAGCACGTCCCAATCTTTGGCCTCTTGATGAGCAGACCCCACAATAATTTGGGCTTCACAGGGATCTTTAGCATAGGTAAAAGAAGCGTTGCTGCAGAGCACGGGAGGAAAGAGAAGCAGAGAAGGAAAAATATACCCAATTACTACCAGTTTGACTATAAAAGTTATTTATTGCTAAGCATATGAAATATATAATAGTACTAGTAGTAATAGACATGCAAAAGAAAAACAAACACCAACAATGACAATACTACCCTGGTTTCACTAAGTATTTGGGGAAACTTAGCTCAAGCTTAACTGATACAGTTCAGGTTCAGAAGTTTATGCCTAGAAAGAAGACAGAGAACGCTGGGATCTCACCTAGTCCACGGTACTCAGGCTGCAAAGCTGACAGGCACAGTCCGTAGCACAATCCTTGAAGAGAGAGATGATCTGTTCTTCCAGCGTCCCAAGAACGACAGGGGATGGTGTCAGCACAGGGGTTTTCTTCTTCTCCTTCTTTCCTCCTGCTTCTACTTCTTTTCCTTCCTTTTCCTCTTCTAGCAGCACACACACTTACAGATTTTTATACCCTCAGTTCAGCTGCTTCGAAGCACCCTCAGTAGTGTAAATCATTGTCTTTTCTATTGACAAGGGGTTATCTGGTTTGGACCATCTCAGGAAACTGATTGATAATCAGGAAACACTTAAGATTAGGGAGTAACCCAAATACTTGGGAGCCAGCTTGAAATTCCTATGGGTGGCAGATATACTGATGGGATATCTCATGGTTTCTTCAGGAACAATAGATAGCTTGCAGCATCAGGATTTTGGATTTTTACTTGTTGTGCACAAGCCTCAGCTTAGCATGACTTTTCCAGATCTTACTATAGTCTTTTAACAGACTTAAAACAATTATTGGGGTGCTCATAACCTTTTGTGGAGAGGACTCCCACCAGTCGTCTCGGGAAAGATATGACAACACCTGGGATTAGGGCTCCAGCAGGCTGGATGCTGTGATGAACCCTTAACCATTGTTCAAATGTTGCCCATACCCCCTCTGACTCGGTCTCTTGCCTCAGCATTCCCTAACCCGGCAACCGAGTTTTAGTCAATCAAGTTTAAATAGGCCTCCCATAGTGGGACCGGGGAATGTACGGCCCGAGATGCCTATTAAACTTAGAGCTGTGTGTGTGTGTCTGGGGGGGGAAAAGTCCTTAGCAAATCCAGATTAGAACTGGTCTGATAAATGCTGAGCTGGGTGTGTGTGAACATGGGTTGATTAACATTGGAAGCACAGATTCCCCGTCATGCAGCGCTCTCCTGCTTCTCTGGTCCCAGAATTCACTGCAGTCTCTGCTTCAGGCTTTCTGTTCTCCATCTCTCATGTAAATGAGACCTAGGGCAGTTGATTCACTCTTGTCACCCTTATCTGGTGAGGGTCTTAGGTGCGTCTCTCACTGCATCTGAATCAGTTTCGTTTAGGTAGAGGAGGGGAGGGAGCGGGGGTGAGTCCTTTGTGAGTCAGACAGACTGTATCCTGTGCCAGGGTTGCCCAAGAATACAGAGCTGAGATAACAGAGGGACCCTCTGGGGATTGCCGGGGGCAGGTGGGACGGTGCTTAACCCTGGGCCCAGCTGCAGAAACCAGGCGAGAGCCCTTTTCAGCATCACGCCATCCACAGCAAGGTGGCTGGGACAGTAAGAAGCACAAAGCCATGTCCGGAGCAGCCCAGGCCTCTTTTATTTAGCTCCCTGTGGGGCTTGCTATTGCCACTCCTCCCATGAAAGGGTCACATCCTGCCCTGGACTCTCGTGGGAGCTGCGCATACCCAGGGCAGGACTCCAACGCCTTTCGTAGCACTGCCAGTAACGCACGGCAGTGATGCCCGGTGATCGAGGCTCTGCGTGCCAGGCGCTGTACAGATTGAGACCCAGTGGCAGTGCCTGTCCTAAGAGCTTGCGATCTAGGTTAGGACCGGTGCTCTTTGAGGGCAGGATTCAAGCAGAAGGGGCCTCCAGTGAGCTGCCCTGAGTGGGGAGCCTGCAGCCGGATGGCTTGTCCCTGTTCTGGCCTAATGCTGTGGTTGGCAGACGTGGGGCTGGGTCCGCTTCTCCATGACGGGTGTGATCCAACTCCATGGGATTTCCTTTAGCCAGATGCATCCTCTGCCCACGGGGACTTGCAGTTTAAGGCCTACCAGAGAAGCAAAAGTGGGATATTGCTTAGGATGGCAGGCGTGTGGAGGTGACAGGGGAAAGCTGGAAGGCGTGGGGAAGAGGAGGGAGAGACCAGCCCAACTGTGATGTTGTGGTATGCGATTGTGCATTCAACCTTTCCAGGGGGTCGTAACTGTGGAGAGAAAGGTGGCCGAGATATGGATACAGATCCCCTGCATCGACCAGATGGGCAGCTGCACATACGACAACCTCTGCAGCATCCTGGATGACATTATCCCCCCCGGCGAGCCATGCCCGGAGCCCCTGGTCACCTACGGCATCCCCTGCCACTGCCCCTTCAAAGCAGTAAGCTCCAAGGCAGCAGACACTGTTGGCTGCCTGCAGACCAGTCCCTCTTTCCCACCTAGCCGGGGTCTAGCTGGAGAAGGGGCTTTGTGAACACCAGGAGGGAAGAAAATAGCAACTGGGAAAATAGCTGGGAGTTAATAGCTAGTTGTGCAGGAAGGTGCGTGCCCCGTGTTGGGAGCAGTGGGTTCAGTAGGTCTCCTTCCCCTTCAGACAGCACTAAGCAAGCTGGTGGCTCAGAGGCAGAGGATGCTGGATAAAAGCCCCGGCCCCTGGGCCTTTCCTGGGCTTGGGGAGCCCGCCTGCTGCTTAGCTTCACCCATGGGTTGGAGACAGGCGCCGGGGTCTCATCAGGTTCACCTGGGCTCCAGCTCACGGTGGCTGCTGCCCTCTGCCGGCTGCTTGCGCCGCAGCGAGGCGAAGCCTCCGAGCCTGCCCCGGCACAGGGTGGTGTTGCAGGGTGCACCCAGCCATAATTGCGGTACAGAGACCCTCCAGACAGGCTGGGGGTGACCTGTTTCCGGCAGCCAAACTGGAGGGAGGACAGAGGCTTCCAGGTGTGGCTGCAGGGAGTCAAATGGAGCCAGTGCCGGGCACTGGCAGGGGATAAAGAAATAACCATGCAAGGGAGATACCTGAGCAGAGAGCTGGAGGATTCCCCGGAGAGGGACAGCAGCAAGGGGGCAGTTAGCCACCACAAATTATGGATGCGGAGACACCCTTACATTGGTGCCTCCCAGTCGTGGCAGGGCTGAGCTCCAGGCGTGGATACGAAGCTTGTTGCATCTCAGCTGGGCTTGCCCCGAATGCCGCCGTGGGGGCTGACATGTCCTTTTCCCTCCTCAGGGCTCCTACTCCCTGCCCACCAGTGACTTCGCCTTGCCCGACATAGAGCTGCCCTCGTGGCTGACCAACGGCGACTACCGCATCCGGGGCGTCGTGAGCTACGGTGGCAAGGAGCTCTCCTGCGTCCAGCTGGAGCTATCCGTCCACTCCAACTGAGGGCGGGCGGCCGCAGCTGACCCTGAGCTGTCTCCCCTGCTGCTGCTACCATCCCTCCTTCCTGCTCCCTGTCCCTGGAGACATGCTGGGGGTGGTGGGCAGCTGCCCTGCTGTCAGTCCGAGCCACCTTGTGCACCCCATGCCGTAGGGCAAAGTGTCCTGCCTCCCCGTCCCCTGGGGTGCCGGCCAGCGGTGCCCCATTCAGCTCCCTGTACCAGCTTCGGGCCTCACCCAGGGTCCCCTGAAGTCAGTAGAAAGACCTAGGACAGACCCCTCCATTTCAGAGGACTTTGGACCAGGCTCTTGAATCCCAGTGGGGTGGGCAGCCAGGCTCTTCCCACCCTGCCGCCTCTGGCCCGCGGAGATCTGCTGACTCCTAATCCCATGCACGAGGCTTCCCAGGCACGGAGCTACTTTCCAGGTCACCCCCCCAGCCTCCCACCAGAGCAAAGGCAGCTGTAAGGAGGCCTGATGAAGTAGACACCCCGCGCCTACTTGCAATTAAACTGCTTTCCTAACACTAAACACTGCATGCATCTTCCTCCTCCCTCCAGCCAGGAATAGCAGCAGCCATCCAGCTTGCTGAAGTAAAACAAAATGGGTCTTCAGACCCCTTCATGCACTTTAGCGGAAGCTGGGCCGAGCATTATAATAGTCGTTCTTAATGGATAAATCGGGGAGACAGGCCATGCTCGGGGCCTGCAGGACCAGCAGCCAGTCTGTTTTGCGGCGGTCCTTCCTATGAGTCAGCCGCAGCATGGAGCCCGCGTCCCGGCCGGGAGGCCCC